AATGATGTAATGCTCGGACTATGTCCACTTTTGTCGGGCCTCACTAAGTTTCTCACTGAAAAAAGTTATAGGTTTTCCTTCTGGAGGTAAAACGGCTCTGATGCCCATGCCCAAGCATCACAGTCAACTTCAACTAATTTCTCAAAATCTGGAATGGCCAAAATTGGGGCAGTGATCAATTGTTCTTTAAGAATTGCAAAACTCCGATTTGCCTTTTCAGTCCACAAAAATTTATTTTGCTTCAGACAATCAGTGAGGGGTGCGGCTATAGTGCTAAAATTCCGCACAAAACGCCTGTTGAATGTTGCAAGTCCATGGAAGTTGCAAACCTCACTGATTGTTTTAGGAGTTGGCCATTCTTGGATTGCTTTCACTTTGGCTTGATCTACTTTAATCTCTTCAGTGCTCACAACGTACCCCAAGAAAATTAGGTTGCTTGTCATAAAACTACACTTCTTCAAGTTGACATAGAGCTTATTTTTCCGCAATGCATTAAAGACCTCCCATAAATGTTGCAGATGCTCGGTTTCACTACGACTACAAATCAGAATGTCAACAAAGTACACGACCACAAATTTTCCAATAAATGGGTGAAATACCTGGTTCATTATTCTCATGAAAGTACTAGGAGCACTAGTTAATCCGAATGGCATCACCAACCACATGTATAATCCTTCCCTGGTTTTGAAAGCTGTGTTCCATTCATCACCTAGGTGAATACGAATCTGGTGGTAGCCACTCTTCAAGTCTATTTTGGAGAACACCCTAGATCCCCCCAGTTGGTCAAGCATGTCATCTAGTCGAGGTATAGGAAATCTATACTTTACAGTGATCCTGTTTATTGCTCGACTATCAATACACATTCGCCAACTCCAGTCCTTCTTTGGAGTTAACAAAGCTGGTACGGCACAAGGACTCATACTCTCTCTGATTAATCGCTTTTGAAGCAACTCGTTCACCTGCTCTTGTAGAATCTCGAATTCCTTTGGGCTCATTCAATAATGTGGCAAATTTGGTAGACTTGCCCCAGGGACCAAGTCAATCTTATGCTAGATTTCTCATAGGAGGTAATTCTGCAGGTAATTCTTTCAGCATGAGTGTCTAAAACTCGGACAAGAAGGATCTTACTTGTTCAGGTACTACATCTAGAGATGTTGCCTCATCCTCTTTCGGTTTTACGACCATGACACAAATCTGTTGCGTTTCTTGGGCCTCCTTGGTGATGTCGGGCACTCTAAGGAATGATCTCTTCACCAGTTGAATCACCATCATCGTTAGGGTTAATCATAGCACGCCTAGGGTTGTCCCCTATGCATCCAGGATTATTCACTACCCTTGGCTTCTTTTCAGTAAGAAGTCCTTAAGCAAATTTAGATTTTGATTATCTGCTCAGTCCACTTCATTCAGGAAATGAAGATGAATAAAAAGAGCAAAAGTCAAAGTACATTACTACTAGAATGAGCAATATGAGTGAGGAAAGAGAAGAAAATAGATAAGATGAAACAAAGTGATGAGTTAAGAGTGCGACGCAGCGGAATAAATCACACGAGACTAGATATTATTCTAGTAGACGAGAATTTTTGAATCCACAAGAACACCCTTGAATCCACAAGGAAGATAGCAAAAAAACTCTTTAAAAATATTATTGATTGAATGAATCCATTAGGAAACTTAAATCAACACAAATTAGGAAACCTAAGAGAATAAGAAACTAAAATTCTAAATTATTTAAAATCCTAGTCAAAATCTAATTCCATAATAATAAAATTAAGAAATAAAAAAAATTATAGAGTTTTGTTCTACATCAGTATGTGATCTCTGTGAGAAGTTGTTTTGATGAATACAATTTATTGACTGTTTAGAGAAACATGAAAAGTAAATAGCTATGTTTGGATCGTGGATTTGTGGAGGGAAAAGAGAAAACAGTGAAGGGAAAATTTAAGAGGAAAATGAAGGGACAGAAGCTAATTTTAATTCTTTAATTTTTCTATCCCTTGATAGATCCGAGATCCTAATATAGCACAAGACTATTGAGAGTTATCATTCACTTTTAAACAGACGTACTGTGAGTTGGTTACTGGGATCAGTAATAAGAATTTTGACTGTCTTCTCTCAAAATGAAACGTTCAAGGGCCTTGTACTGATTAGTGGTAACTGAAAATGGAGCCGTGCAGCTTTCATGGCTTAATCATGAAGGTATGGATCATTATATGAGTCAGATGGAATGAAGGTTTTGAAACAAATCAATTTTAAGTTTGAATTGAAATAAATTAGCCTTTATCTGTACAAAAGCCCCATTCATGTGATGATATTGGATGTCCCCTTTATAGATGACCAGCTTTATTACCTGTGGGTTTATACAAAGATGTCTATAATCCCATTAATAAATTTTATAATTTTGACATAGGTGGAGTAGAGGGTTTTCATAACAATGAATAGGTAGTTGATTTGATGTACTAGCCTAAAATTATATCCCCTATTTCCTTGCGCACTTGGGCAAAAGAGTGGGATAGTAAATGAGTGTTAGAAGTGAAGCATGAGCTGGTTTGTGGTATTTTCCTTTGAAATGGGATGAGTGAGCTGATGTTTTGTTTTTGTTAACTGATTTTTCCGTCTTCCTGTGTTTTTCAGAGTTATTTTCACTTGGATCATGTGGGAGAGTGCATTAATCAATTTGGGGTCTACTTCAAAGATTTTTGTAATGCATGCATCCTTGAATGTCATCCTTCTCCTAGGCCTTGGGCAAAGAGTCTTAAGATATTCATGGTAGTGAAGTGTGAATTTGTTTACTATGGAGTTTTATCTCAAATGGTGAACGTGAGCTGGTTGTTTTGTTTGTGTCAACTGATTGCTATCTTTATACTTGGGTGAAGTTTTTCTACTTGAGTTAGGTGGAGCATTAGAGCATTCATTAGTTGAGTGGAGTTTATGGTAGGCAATTTGGTGGGTTAGGTGAAGTGGAGTGTGTGGTGAAGTGGAGGTAGGTGAAGTGGAGTGTGTAGTGGAGTAGGTGAAGGTAAAGATGGGAAATTCTAACACCTTGGGCAAAGAGTCTTAAGATATTAATGGTAGTGAAGTGTGAATTTGTTTACTATGGAGTTTTATCTCAAATGGTGAACGTGAGCTGGTTGTTTTGTTTGTGTCAACTGATTGCTATCTTTATACTTGGGTGAAGTTTTTCTACTTGAGTTAGGTGGAGCATTAGAGCATTCATTAGTTGAGTGGAGTTTATGGTGGGCAATTTGTTAATCCTTATCAGAAGATGGAGATCATGTCTATAAGGTCAATATGAGTTGATTGCTTTTGTTGAAAAACTTTCCATCTTTACGAGTTTTTGAAAATCCAAGTATTAGGTTTAGCTTATAGGATCTTAGAAAATAGTATGGTTACGACACAGTTATGCTTAACTTACCCACCTTTCTATGTTCCTTCATAAGTTATTTTTGTTTCCCAGTTGCTAGTTATTATATAGTCCATTTAACTTAAGAACTCAGCGTAGGTTTCTGATTTGTTTCCTTATTTTATTTTGTTATCAATTTTATTTTATTTTATATTTTTATGGCCACTGTGGTGGCATTGGGGTTTTGCAGGCACATACCATCCATTATGTGAGGCAATCATAATTGGTTGTTCCTAAAAGTCTCAAATTGCTATTTTTCATTGACACTATCAAATAATCTATCACAAGCATGACAAGTTGGGGCCAAAATAAAAAAGACAAAACCCTATCCTTTTTATAGATATAGATATATGTCATATGTTCTCTTCAGTTTTACCTTTTATTCTTTCCTTCTCTTTGCAATTTGTTCTCGAAGTTGTTGAATAGCTTGATATACATTGTTGGACACATTTCCTAACAACTTAAGCTTTTGGGACAATTGCTGACTTAACATTTTTTTTTCCCCCGATAAATACAATTGGTGACTTAACATGTTATTAGATCTCAACCTAGGTTGGGAGAGGTCTTGGGTTCAAGTTTGTCGGTTGGATTTGGTATTTGGTCTGCGTTTGATTTCTTCTTTTTTGTTTGGTTGTCCGCTTCTTTTTCAATTTGGTTCTCTATTTGCATCTTCATGTGTAAGACGAGGTTGCATGTGAGGGAGGGTGTTGAATAGTTTGATATACATTCTTGGGTTCATTTCTTAACAGCTTAAGCTCTTAGGACAATTGGTGACGTAACAGAAGCATCCGCCATCTTATCTTGACTGCCAAAAGTTTGCAGTTAGTACTGAATATTTCTGGCTGTTACAAGAACATATTGATTTAGTTTGGTCACTTGTCAAAAGAAAATATTGATCTAGTTTTTCAATGGATATTCTTTTATGTGAAGAACTGAAGATTACATTTTGAAGGGAAAAATCTACATGATGTCAGATATTTCATTGACGTGCCCTCTCCTTTATATAGAGGACTAATTGGTTCTGCAACCTGGTGACTAAAGTAATTTGGTCACATATGTTTATATGTCTCTGCATGCAGATATTAAGGATGTAAAATATGACTGTTTTCTTGATCTGACCAAGAGGTACTTAGCGATTTCTGAAGTATCTTTGCATATAGAATGATGCTTAATGCTCATCAGAATTATAGACACCTACGGAATAGAGTTGAAGTTGAATTTAACCAAGAACTTCTAGCTGTGAGTCACTTATTGCAAATCATATGTGTACCGTTGCCCATGAACGCACATGTGCGTACTTTCTATGCTACTAAAATACTTCATTTAATATGATTAAAATAGAAACTTTTTAGTGAGACAGAAACATGCTTGTTCATGAAATCGGTTCTGTATTTCTTGGATACCATTTCATATTATTGTTCTATCAAATCCGTCCTATCACTGCAGTTAGGGTGTCTGGATTGGTTATGTGGGCTGGGATTGTTACTCAGTTATGTTCCTGAACATTCGGAAAACGATATGCTAGCTGCGTACATCCATCTTTCTTTCTTTGGTATTGATTGATTGTTGAAACAACCAATTAACATAGCAAATTTTGCAGGAATTCATGGCGGACTTAGAAAAGCTGCTTCTGGAGGCAGCAGGAAGAACCAGTACAGTGGGTAGGAACCGGCATTCACATCCAGCATCTAGAAGACAACACGATGGTTCATATTCTGATGATGGAAGTGACTCAAAAGATGATGACTCAGATGAAGATCATGATTATGCAAGCAAGAAGCCCTCTGGATCTCAAGTTCCTTTGAAGAAGAGGCTAGACCCTACGGAAAGAGATGATGATCGTGATGATGATGATGATGATTATGACCATGATGGTGACAGTGGTGATGATGACTCTGTTGGGAGCGATCTTTACAAGGATGAAGCTGACAGGCAAAAGCTTGCAGGGATGACAGAACTTGCAAGAGAGTTGATTTTGTCAGAACGTGCAGTGAAGAAAAATGATAAAGAATGGCATGAGAAGATGAAATCAAAGTGGAATGACAAGAAGCCACGACCTAGAAAAGAAAAAGAAAGTCCACTTCACACAACTTCTCGTGGTGTGCGCTCCTCTGCCAGATCAGCTGACAGATCAGCTGCCAAAGATGATGCACTGAATGAGTTACGAGCAAAACAACGATTGAGGAATCAAGGGCATCAGGACTCGGAGGAGCGCACACCAACCAAGCAGAGAGCCTTCACAGCAGCAAGTATAAGTAGCTCGAGTCAGAGTGAAAGTGGGTCCCATAGTGAAGATGAAGGGGTGGTTGACAGCGATGAAGACAAGACATCACCCATGTCAAAAGTACCTACATTTGAGGATATAAAGGAGATTACTATTCAGAGGTCAAAACTGGCTAAATGGTTCATGGAGCCTTTCTTTGATGATTTGATTGTGGGATGCTTTGTTAGAGTTGGAATTGGGAAATCAAAATCCGGACCTGTCTACAGGCTCTGCATGGTCCAGAATGTTGATGTTGCTGACTGTGACCGACAGTACAAGCTGGAGAACAAAACCACGTACAAGTATTTGAATGTTGTTTGGGGCAATGAAAGTTCTGCTGCCAGGTGGCAGATGGCTATGGTTTCAGACTCCCCTCCTCTGAAAAACGAGTTTGACCAGTGGGTTAGGGAGGTGGAGCGTAGTGGTGCTCAGATGCCAAGCAAACAGAATGTGTTGGATAAGTTTGAGGCCATTCAAAAAACCAACGCGTATGTCTACTCAGCTGCCACTGTGAAGCAGATGGTGGAGGAGAAAAAATCCGCCACATGGAGGCCGTTAAATGTTGCGGCGGAGAAGGATCGGCTGAGGCGGCAAATGGAAGTGGCAAAAAGTAAGAACAATGAGGCTGAGGTGGAGAGGATTGTGGCAAGGCTGAAGGTACTGGAAGCTTCCCGGCAAACTCAAGAGAAAGATGCAAAGGCTATAAGGCTGGCCGAAATGAACAAAAGGAATCGGGTTGAGAATTTCAAAAATGCATCAGAACTAAAACCCGTGAATACGAGTTTGAAAGCGGGCGAGGCTGGGTACGATCCATTTTCGAGACGGTGGACTAGGTCAATGAATTACTATGTTTCGAAGCCCAGTGGAGGAGATGAGGTGGCAGAGGCAGAAGCAAAAGTAGCCAATGGTGATACTACTACAGCAGTTGGTGTGGAAGCTACGGCAGCAGCGTTGGAAGCTGCAGCTGATGCAGGGAAGTTGGTGGACACGAGTGCTCCAGTGGATCAAGGAACGGAGTTGAATACGATGCATGATTTTGAGCTGCCGATCTCATTGGCTGTGCTTCAGAAGTTTGGTGGGCCCCGAGGAGCTCAGGCAGGATTCATGGCTAGAAAGCAGAGGATAGAAGCGACGGTTGGATGCCAAGTGTTGGATGATGACGGAAGGAGACATGCACTGACCCTTTCTGTTGGCGACTACAAGAGACGCAGAGGGCTGCTTTGAAGTGAGCTGTTTCGAGGTAAGAAATTCTAACTTTTGCCATCATGAATCGAATTGAATTGAAAATGCTGGTTTTAAAGGGTAGGCTTCTTGTTCGGGACAGCGTAGCCTGTGAAAATTAAATTGTCTTCGTCTTGTTATCTTTTAGTGTCGTTTAAATTTCTTTTGGAGAAAAATCCATGCAAATTTGTTGGGAATGTCAATCTTAATGGCACCACTTTGGCGAACATAATTACCCAATCTAATATGTGGTTATGCATATCTAGCCCAAGATTTTGTTGAATTCTAGTAGCGCTTGCCCTTCATCAACCAATGCCTTGACAGTGAACTCAATTTTGGCATCTTTTCAGTAAATCCAGTCCTTGGTAGTGTCTACAAATCGAATCATATATGTTTGCAGTGCATGCATTGTTTCAAGTTGTATATGATCAAACAGATATTTGTCCTTATCGCATTGGTTTATTGTCTAGGTTTTTTCTATTAATATATATAGAGAGAAGATTGGGGAATCGAATGTTCAGGGATAATTCCTGGAATAGAGTAGAAAAAAAACCCAAGCCCTAATCTTATTCATGAAACAAATGCGGCCTTAAATTTATGTATTGGAAGCCGCTTGGGCACCAAGTGATTAACCTGGTGGTTACTAGGTAGTGCCCTTATTCCGGGGCGTTGGCTTGGGTTCAAGCCTCAATGATCGTTTTGCGACTTCCTCTTCCTTCGCTTTGGATAGAGATATATCACTATTGTTCTTGCCCCTTCGGGTTTGGTCTATTTTTTTATGAGAGAAATTGTGAAAATTGCAAATCATGGGATCTGCAATTTCACTCACAAAAAATAATTGAACCTACAATCTCCAATCAATTGGATCATTGGGTAGAAACCAATCTCATTGTAAAATTAGAAGTTATCAAAACTTTGTTATTAGAAGGACCAAGTCAACTGTTTAATTTTTTTATTTTTTCCTTTCTTATCTTTACTTTAAAAATAGAGGTGTATCGCACATAATATAGTTTACAAGAAATTTTCACTTTGTGACGTGATGCGTTTTACTATTTTTAAATATGGCCTCATTTGGAATCTAGTAAAAAAGTTGAAAAATCAAAAAAAAATATTTGTCATTCGTTAAAAAAGTCAAATGTTATATCGATTTTTCACTCAAAAAAAAACAAATAATCACTGTAACTTCTCAAACACATTAGTTTTTTAAAAAAAATTAAAAAATAAATTCCAAATTAGGCCAGGCTTAATATACACATGATTTATTGTATGTACACGTTGGAGGTGACCTAAAATGCTGAAATAAATACAGCGAAATGAATTATCATTTCTATCTCATTATCTCATGAATTATCATCCCATTTATATTGTAGCTATGTTATATTACAATATTTTAATATATTTTAGTTAGTCTACTCTATTACTGGTAGCAATTTTTTATGTTGTAAAAAAAAGTATAAATTATAAATACACTTTTTAAAAATATTTTAAAATATAATTTTTTTTTTTCTATTTTGAGAAATTATAAAAACTTCATTATAAGAGTTTGACTTTTAACAGCATTAACATTAAAGATTATGTTGCCGTTTGGCTTGTGACCTTTTTTAGTTAGTTTTTTAACTATTTTAGTTTCAGTTAAAAATTTTGTTTGGGTTGATTTTTTATTTTTATTTTTTTGAAAAAATAAATAAAATGATTATAATTTGAATATGATATTTTATTTTATTAATTTTTTAGTCTAATTTATTTTTTGTGACTAATTTAGCTCAAAAAGTCAATGTCAATTTTGAAATTTTTGTGAGTTACAATTCATAAAAAGACAAAATAGGTTAAAATAGTTAATAAGATAAAATATCACATTAAACTTATAATTATTGTACTTTTTTATTTTTACAAACATCACATCTAATTATAAAAAAATAAAAATAAAAAATCAATAAAAAAACTTTATTTTTATATCATTTCAAATATAAAAATTTTAATCTACTAAAATAATTAAAAACTAAAATAATTTATTAAAATAACTAACTTCCCAACGGGTCGAATAATACTTAACAAAATGATTACTACCTGCCTTCATCTTCGGGGCTTTTCCCACATTAATCCAAATTTCTATCTTAATTCTCAAACTAGGCCTAGTTTGGACGGATTTTCCAAATTAGGCTAAAACGCTATTACAAATCGCGCTTTCACTGTTTGAAGCAGAAAATTTGATGAATAGTGAAAGCGCTATTACAAAAAGCGTTTTTAATTAGGAAAACGCTATTATAAAAAGCGTTTTCACTGTGCATATGAAAAAAACGCTATTACAAAAAGCGCTTTCACTATGCACCCCTTCAGAAAACGTTTAAAATATATTAAAATGTAATCAAAATTAATTTTGAGTTCTCTGCAGCTCAAATGGTAGTGCATTGGTTTTGCCACACCTCTGCACAGGTTCAAACCAAATGCACACTAACTCCAAACAATTGCTATCTAAAATGAAATTCAACTTTTTTTTTTTTTCCCCCCTTCCGCTCACTCTATATTTTATATATTTATTATGTAATTTTTTTATCAAAAAAAAATGTTTGTTTGGTTAAATATTTTAAAAAATTAAAAATAAACAATTTATTTATTTTTAAAGAATTATATAAGGTAGTATACTATTTATACTATCATCACATCGCACGTATAAATAGTATACTCACTTAGACGTATTATACTATCATCACATCGCACGTATACTACTTTTTATATTTTTAATAAATTGTTTATTTTTATTATTACCCATTACTTTTAAAATATGTTTATTTTTAAAATATTTTAAAAAATTAAAAAATATACACTTTTTTTATTTTATCTTTTAATAGGTTATTTTAATCCAATCATCTTCTCAAACGTCCCTTCACAAGCTGTCACCTCATCACGTCGTATTTTATTTATTTATTTTTTTCTGGTGCAGAGAAAATAGTATTAACTATTAAATAGTTATTTTAACACATGAGATTGTTCACATTAGCATAATCGTTAGTTGACGTAGCAGTTGATTAATAGAAGGAGTATTTATGATGCGATTTAAAAACTGAAGAAAGAATTACTTTATATGATTAACTAAGAAAAATATCCCATGGTGGGAAGAAGGGATTGGAAGGCCAAGTGTCATTTCTAATACGGATAGTAAAGAATATTTTATAAATATTTTTCTGAAAAGTTGGTTATCCTTAAGTGTGTTTAAGTTAAATGTATCTATAAAGTAACAAATTTACCTAACATATTTATAAAAAAACTCACTTAAAATAAATAAAAAAAACTTAATTTTCAAAAAATCAGTTTAAACCAAACAAGGTATCTCAACCCATTCATGTCAGTGTTAGAATGATTTTAAAGTTTACCAATGAGATTTCAAAAGTTTATTTTTTCTCTCTTTTCTATTTAAAAAAAGAAAAAGAAAAAGAAAAAGAAAAAAGAAGCAGTTCAAAACTAATTTTAATTGTGTTTCTCATATACAGGTAAACTCAAGCTGAAATGGATGTTTCAATGGTTGATCCAGGCAAAGTTTGTCATGGATTTGAATTTGGGGCTGGAATTTTGAGTAATTGCTTAAGCTTGGAAGCATAAATTTGGGTCAATTTACAAGGGTTCGCTATCCCGTAGAAGAGCATATCAATGGGTTTAAAATTGGAGTCAGGAGCCTCTCCTTGCAACCCCTCCTTGCGCTCCGTCCTTGCAGGCTTTTGGGCCTACTTTCAGGTCCAATTTTGATAATTCGAACTGTTCATATTTTAAGATTTATTCAGTATATTATACCTGTAAAAAATTAAGTTGATCGGATATCAGAAAGTATGTGTTTGAAAAATTGAACTAAAAGTTATTTTTTTAAAGAATTTAATAAACAGTTTTCCGAACATATGCTTTCTGATATCCGATCAATTTGATTTTTTACAGGTATGATATAATGAATAAATCATAAAATATAAGCGATTCGGGGTTCAGATTATCAAAATTAGGCCTAAAAGTAGGCCCGAAGGCCTGCAAGGACGAAGCGTAAGGAGGGAGTGCAAGGAGAGGATCCCAATTCTTAAAATTGAGTCAAATTCAGAGATGACTATGAATCTAGTTCAGGATGACACAAATACTAACTCATCCTATTGAGCACTAATATAAGACTCGAGGTTTTTATTAAATCTATGTTTGGATTATGAATTTGGATAAAAAAATTAAAAAGGATAAAAAAAAAGTTGAGTGAAATGTAAATAAAATATAATTATATTTCACTTTTCTTTTTCTTTCTAAACATTTATCCATTATCCAAACATAATCTAAGGTGATGCAATTACCAAATGGGCTTCGTTTGGCAAGTGCGTATTTTAATCTAAAAGTCAAAAAGTTACTTAAAAAAATCAAAAAGCTATAACTTATACAAAAAAGTCAAAAATTCTTTTCTCTTTACTTTTTGTACATCTTTTCGTAAGAAACAAAAAATTTATTCTAAATATACTAGTTTTTTTTACTTCATATTTTAGTCAAAAAGTCAAAAAAATTACTAACATAGCCTGTTTTCAAACAAGGCTATGCTTTAGTTAATTCGGGACTAGAACAAACCTGTTACGATCCACTTAATTAGTTTGCAATTCTTAGATTTTGAAAAAATAAATAACAAATATGTTTTTGAAAATAGATCATTTATTATTTTATTTTTTTTATGAATGATATAAACAAAGTACCTTATAAAATAAACGCTTCAAATTATCAAAACAAAATATGTGAAATTCTGTGAGCCCTTCAAATTCTCTTTAAGTTCAATCCTGTAAAATAATTCATTTGACTTTGGGAGAGATGTGGACACGAAATGGCACAGCTTCATATATATTAGTACAGATTTGAGTATGACACTAATGCTAATTGATGAAATTGTATACTATATGATCACACAATTGTTTATGCATATGACAAATAATTTATGAATTTGTTGTCAACATCCACTTGCATGTGGTGATACAATTGTTTATGCAAATATGACAAAGAGGTGGATATATAGAAAACAAAGCAAGGTTGAATGGATTTTGGGTACAAGACATAACAAGTACTTGTCCAAATTTATTAGTTTTCATAAAATAATCATTTAGACAATTTGGTCCTTGGATTAGGTGATCGCAATAAGTTGGATGGAAGTTAGCCTATCATTATCATGCATCAAATTATTTCCAATATTGTATTGTCAAGCTATATTTTTCAATATTAGATGTCCCATTTGACATCAGTTTTTCTAGTATATAATTCATGTTATGTACAGGATAAAAATTT